GGGGTGGAACTGGAAATATATATCACCAAGAGGACGATTAGTAAATACATGGCAATGCTAAATGGAGAACGCAACTTTCCTACTACTCTTATTGTATTTTTGATAAGGGGAGAGTATTGAAATAATGCAACAAAAAGTACAATTGAAACCTTTGTACCGCTCTACAATTTAGCTTACACCACATCAGATGGACTTTCAAATACAAACGAAATTAAGTAAACTGTCAAGTTACTTCCAAGTAAAAAACTGAAACTAGAGCCTCAGCTTCCCAAGTTTGCAGCCAATATGAAATTAGTAAATCCAAGAGAGCTCCATCCAATCATCTAGGCTGGAACAAAGGTGATACTCTCCGTCGAACAACATCCTTATCTGCTCAGCCTTCTCCAACTGCTGGTGAATCTGTCAAACATGCAGATCAATTTAGAAGAACAATATTTGAGTTTCTTATCTTATTTGAAGTTTAGGAAAGACAAAGTATTACCATAAATGCTTTAATTTTTTCTGAAAGAAAAACATTATTTTCTTCCATATTTGGTTTATTCTTTCCTTTAGGAAAAGTTTGGAACTCTATAAATTGAAGACTCCTCTTCTCATACCAACAATACAATAGAATTCACAATATAGTCATTTAGAGAGATTTGTTTATGAGAAGATTTTCTCTCAATAGTTTTTAGGCTTTTAATTAGTTTTTAATTATGTAGGTCAATTGGTCGTATCAAATAATAATATTATGGCTTTTAGTATAATTTTATATGTCATCTAATTTATCGTCATATGATTTGCAATTGTAAGTTTCCGCATGACGTCCTAATCACTTTCAAACCCAACATAAAGTTGCATAAGGGTCTGCTCGAACTCAGTGTTTTAATTCAAATTTTGTGTTAAGAAATCCATTAATTAAATATGTATAAAAAATAAATTAATTTAATGATATCTTATGTCACTATTTTAGAAAAAAAACTCATAAAGTTCAAATTTTGGCTTTACCTATTTAGACGACAGGGCGGATTAATGCGGGATAAGCCCAATCCCCCGGCCCCACCAAACTGACATCCATTAAATCATCCACATGAGAAATATATAGGCTATAGCCGTGTATTTTTTAATTTTTCAATTTCTTTATTGATTTTAGCAGGGTTTAGAAAAGAGTCGCACTCTAAGGAGTATGATGTAGTAATGTAGACAACCTACGACCTACTCTATTGTAAGTATTAGTGACTTCTTTCGTAATCTAAATCTGTAATCTATAAGTTTCACATAGACAACTTTACTGTTACTCAAAAATCGCTCAATCTCTTACCCATTGAATTGGTAATAATGTTAAAAGAGAGGGAATTTAGTCAAATATGACAGCTTCAACTTACACTTCGAGAAAAGCATCAGTGCACGGACACTCGTTATTTTGTGTCATTTTCATAAACTTAGTATTATTTTCTGTAAACAAAATAAGATGACAACTTATAATTTTAACAACTCATATTCAAAGTTGTTGTAAAATACCTTTTTTTTTTGGTAGGTAATTAATTAATTGGTTTTTAATTCTGGTAGTTGGGATAGTTATTGCACTGTTTTGGAACTTTTGTGTATGCCAGAGAGGTCGTGAACTGGGTACTTAAAAGTGTAGCAAATTGGGCATGTGGGTTGGTGTTGCTGGTAAGAGTCTTAAATGTGAGTAGTTCTTGGGGAGTCAAGTCCCCATGATGGTCTTAGGCATTTTAATGTAACAATAGTTAGTCCAAAGGTATCACATATGGTACGATAAATATCGAATTAATTATAATATCAAAATTAAAATTTTGGTAATGTTATTTCAATATTATGGTATTTAGTATGTATATTAAAAATAATTATATTTGATACGGTACTTGTTATTTTAAAAAAAATGTCGAAATATACATCATACCGAAATAATTAGTTTTGTACTTATACTAACTTATATATATACTACTACTACTACTACTACTACTAACAAAAATATACTCCCTCTGCCCTAATTACTTGTCCACTTTTCCTTTTTTAGTTATCTCTAATTACTTGTCCATTTTGACAAATCAACAAAGGACATTTTTTTTTACCTATTATACCCTCAATTAATTACTTTGAAAAAGATAGAATTTCTTGAAATCTTATTCATAATTAATAGGAGTAAAATGGTAAATTCACTATGTCAATAATTATTTTCTTAATAGTTGTGTCAATTCAAAAGTGGACAAGTAATCAAGGACAGAGGGAGTATAAGTTAGTATTAGTACAAAACAAATTATTTAGACTTTGAAACTTTGAAACTTAAAATACCGAATCATTTTAATTTGGTATAATAAAAAAAATTAATACCATACGATGCGCACCCCTACTTAGACCAATGTACTTGATGTATTTATTTTTCGGGGAAATTAAGCGAATAAGTAAACATATACTAGTTAATTAGCTAAATCAATGAATTCATTTTAAATTGTGATGATAAATCGATAATTTTCAATTTAGATACTGAAAATCATAATTTAATTTTTTTTATCAAAGTTTCATACTTAAAGGGTACTTTATTAGAACCCTAAACAAATTAAATTACCATAGGGCCCCTCTTCTGATTTCTAGCTTGAAATTAAATATTTTGGAAGATAAATGGGAAAGGGACAATAATTTATACTACACAGTACACACATTGTTGGATCGGGTCAAATAGGTCATCAATCAGGTGGGGTTTTTGTGTTTGAGTTGAGATATTTGGATTTTGTGTAACTTGCCTAATTAGTATGCCAACTAAGCATTTAATATAAGATAACATGTCAACGTAATTCATTAACTTGATTCCTGAAAGATGAGCAAGAAAAATATGAAGGCTAACGAAAAAAATATAGGATTATGTGAATGTGAAATGTAAGCAGAAGTGCAATGTAATTTCTTAAGTTCAATCACATTGCCGGAGTAATTGAGTCTGAAAATGAAAGGATAAATTGTATTTGTATAAGAAATCTCTTTTATAATGAACATTACTAATCATTCTCTAGAATAAGCTCAAACATTTAATATTTATTATGAGATAACTTGTCAGCGTAATTTATTAATTTTTAATCGCTAAAAGATGAGCAAAAAAATATGAAGATTACCGATAAAAGCATAAGATTATATGAGTGTGAAATATAAGAAGAGGTGCAATGTAATTTCCTAAGTTCAATCATATTACTACAAGTAATTGAGTCTTGAAAGATAAATTGTATATGTATAAGAATTTTCTTTTCTAATGAAAATTACTTATCATTCTCTAGAATAAGCTCTAACATTTAATATGAGATAACATGTCAACATAATTTATTATTTTGATACCTAAAAGATGAGAAAAAAATATGAAAATTAACGATAAAAGCATAAGATTATATGAATGTGAAATATAAGAAGAGGTGAAATGTAATTTCCTAAGTTCAATCATATTACTGGACGTAATTGAGTCTTAAAAAATAAATTGTGTTTGTATAAGACATTTATTTTCTAATGAAAATTACTAATCTAGAATAAGCTTTATTGTTAGTATTTCACTCAATTTTAACATAATTATATTTTATTCAAAAATAAAATAAAATTAGTTGAGTCTTTTTGTTTTTGTATTTTTTGCAAAATGAGTCTATTATATCTATCCTTTTCTTGAAGAAGTTGTTTGAATTTCTATAAATAAAATATTTGTCTCCTTATATACATGACACATACAATAATGTTCACGATCTAGTTATTTGAGAATTTTGCTTATAAAGAGATTATTTTTTTATAATGTCAATTATTTTATTGTTTGATTAATTATCATTCAAAATTAACAATTATTAAATTTAATATAATGTTATGTTATTTCGGCCCCAATATTGTTTTACGCTACCTCTAACCTTCTATATATTAGCTTTCAATTTTGTTTGATCATGCAATGCATGCTTATATGGTTTTATTTAGGTAAAAGACATCATTCGCCTAACTTTCTTGAAGTCTTAGAATTCTCTCTTCTTTTAGTATTAGTATTCCATTCTCTCTCCCTATTGCTTTTGCCTTTCATATCTATCTCATGATTATAAAAAAAAAAACAAATAACACAATTAAAACTTAATAAGAACGGATTGTGATAGGTTAAGACTCATATTAATTTTAATCTAAATAACTTTTGGATAAGTCAATAACTCGTCAATTTATTAATCACTTCATTTTAATCCGTTTAAATCCATTTCAACCCATTTATTTGACACTTATACGGATGACCATTTAAGAAATTTAACTTTATAATTCGCTATGCTTTCTTAATTATAAGTAAAACAGTTACTCTATCAGTTTCATTTTAATTACTTGCCCCTTATATCGAAAAATAAATATACATTTTATCTTACCAACTCAAGAGTCTTTTTTCATACTACACTTGGTATTAAATAACTACATAAAATAGTGGTACGCTATATTAAAAATGTTTTTAGCATTTAACTATCACTATATGTGCGATAATTAATTAACATTCTTTGTAAATGTTTCTGAAGCCTATAGAGACATTGGATCCAATGACAATGAACTAATGTCTAAAGACTTTAGTATTCTTTGTTAATATATATATTTTTTATCACTAAAAGTTGTTTTTGTTGTAGTGATAGTCAATTCAGAGTTCCAAAAGCATCATTAATAACATTATTTAGTAAAATATATCTCTAATTAAAGTGTTATTAAAAAATATATCAGATATTCAACATGAATCAAGTAATATAAAACGGAAGAAAAATAATTTATTGGCTTATCTTCTTATCACGAGTTGGAAAATTTCTTCCGACCCATATAGGTAGGGGTATACAAAATGTGTTGGGTATTTAATTGCATTTAATGTTACGGCAATAGAAAGATGATAAATTTAAATGAACAAAATTGACTTTACATTATCAATTTATGACACATTAATTAATGTAATGGGAGGTGGTCTTTTTTTTTTCTTTTTTTTTCACACTCTTTAAATTGACCAATGTTGATGTATTTTGGAAATTCAACAATCATATCATATACTCCAATCTTTCTTGTTCTACTCATAATTTTCTTGTAGCAAAATGGCACAAAATTCTCCTAATGGAGAAATTCAATCATCAAATTTACCAAATTTTCTTCTCTCTGTTAGACTCAAATATGTTAAACTTGGTTACCATTACTTAATCTCAAATGCAATTTATCTCGTAATTGTTCCAATTCTTGTTGCTGTGGGACTTCATCTTTCAACTCTTACACTTGAAGACCTCATGACAAATCTTGCCATGTTGAAATCTTATTCAACTCTTGTTGTATTTTTGGGCACGGTATACTTCATGAGTCGTCCGAGAAACGTTTACTTAGTCGATTTCTCGTGTTACAAGCCACACGAACGTTACATGATATCGAAAGAACGTTTAGTAGAGAAACTGACAGATATTTTTGATGAAAGTAGTTTGAACTTTCAAAAGAAAATCTTGTACAACTCAGGTTTAAGTGACAAGACATATATTCCAGTCGATAAATGGATCCCTTCAAATTTTTCCCTTAGTAGTAACCAACATCAAGCGAAATTGGTTATTATTGGTGCCATTGATGGTTTATTGGCGAAAACCGGAGTAAAAATTCGAGATATTGGATTTATTATTGTGAATTCTAGTATGTTTAATCCAACACCTTCTCTTTCTGCCATGGTTGTGAACCATTATAAGCTTGGTGTCAATGTGATCACTTACAATCTTGGAGGCATGGGCTGCAGTGCTGGGCTTATTTCTGTGGATTTGGCCAACAGACTTTTACAGGTTGGTGTATCATCTTTCTCGATATATTTTTTTAGTACGTTTCAAAAAGATTAGAAAAAAAATATATTAAAAAATATTTAGAAATAACCTCTAAATATAGGTAGTTAAACTGAACTGATTATGTAATTTTTCTTGTAAATTCTCATGGAAACTTTAATTACTTCATAGAGAAACACTTTTTAAGAAGGTATGTCCCTCCTTTTTTAGTCCATTTTGCAAAAAGCTCAATATCTTAATTTTTTTTATATTTTTATATTTGGGGTGTGTTCGATATGAAGAAGAATATTTTCTTTAAAATGTTTTTCTTAGTCATTTTCTGATGTTTGATTGCTATTAGATATAACATGACTTCTCTCGCTTTTGGATGGAAGTCATTCTCCTCCATAATTATTTCATCTCATTACATCATATCACAATAATACTTGACATTATTATCAAATCTTTAATACTTTAAAAATCCATCAAAATACTATTTGATTCATTAATATCATCATCAACTTTTAATAATAAATAGATTCCACTCTCAAATCAATTTTTAGAAAGTAAGTCATTTTCTGAAAGATAACTTTAGTCGTACCAAACAAACATACATGTTAAAAAATTTCTATTGTTCGATCAAACATCATCATATAATATGCAGAAAATGTATATCATGTTGGTCAAAATTGTTGAGTTTTGAAATGATTGAACAGGGGCAAGCCAACAGCTATGCACTTATAGTAAGCACAGAAATAGTCTCATCGGCCTTCTATACTGGGAATGATAAATCAAAGCTAATACCAAACATGATTTTCCGGATGGGTGCATCCGCTGTTCTCCTATCGAACCGTTTCTCCAACCGAAGGCGGTCGAAATATCAACTGATGCATGTCGTCCGAACCCATAAAGGCGCAGACGACAGAGCATTCAGTTGCGTGTTTCAAGATGAGGAAGAGGATGGGAAAAAAGGCATGTCATTGTCAAAGGACCTAATGGCAGTAGCTGGTGAGGCCTTAAAGACCAACATCACAACTTTAGGCCCACTAGTCTTGCCAATGTCCGAGCAGCTCCTCTTTTTCGTCTCGTTAATTGCTAGGAACGTGTTTAAGCGGAAAATCAAACCGTACATTCCAGATTTCAAGATGGCATTCGAGCATTTCTGCATTCATGCAGGGGGGAGAGCTGTGTTGGATGAGCTTCAGAAGAATCTTGATCTCTCAGAAGCACTTATGGAACCTTCTAGAATGACTCTCTACAGGTTTGGGAACACTTCAAGTAGCTCAGTGTGGTACAATTTGGCCTATTCAGAGGCTAAAGGGAGGATTAAGAAGGGCGATAGAGCGTGGCAAATAGGATTTGGATCAGGATTCAAATGTAATAGTGCTGTTTGGCGCGCCCTCAGGACAGTCAATCCAGCCAAAGAAAAGAACGCGTGGACAGATGAGATTGATGATTTTCCCGCTCAAGTCTCACGTTGATGCTTCATACTGAAAAATGTACAACACCTACAAAAATCACTCTAGTACATTAAATTGTGCAAACAAATGTTTGTACAATTAATGTATCTACAAGTACAAGCCAAATGAGGCAATCAGTAGGTAGTTCAAATTTCAATTTCACTACAAACTTTGAATCAGATTGGTGACTTGAATTTCAATCTTTTTATTTCAATGTTGAATTAGCTTATTCATGCTCTTTATTTGTTGAAGGAAAATACCCTGTTCTTGAATCTTGAATCATTTTAATTTGTTTGTCTTAGTTTGATTAGACACGGAGTATACTTTTGAAACATGTAATCTTAAATATGTCATTTAGAATATTTTTCTTCATACCCAACATACCATCAATGTGTTGGGTATAACACATGAAATTCATGAGCTAGCCTTATTTTTATTACTTTTAGTTTTTGGCACTTTTTTTTGCGTCAGTTGAACAAGTACACACACGTGTCCTACATGTATTATGCCACATAGGACACATGTGTTTATTTGTTTAGCTTTAAGTGACATTTTATTCCTTTTTGTATTCCTTTACCTTTATTCACAGGACCACCATTCCAAAAACAGGAAAGATGTGATGTGATATTGCAATTTGCAAGAGGAGGGCAAGTTACACATGATATATGACTGGTTCTTTGAGATAGGACCATATGTATCTGTAGCTCGTTTTAGTTACTAGATTCACAATTAAATACATAATACATATTTAATGAAGTTCTAACATAAATACATGATCTAAGCACAAACTATTGGGTTTGTCTCAACCCGTACCTAATATTGTAACTCCACCCAGCCTGCTTTGTAAAATATCAAGAAATATTTGAATGTGAACCCAGTTATTAGACTATACTAACTTGAGGTCGCCGTAGGATCCCATAAACTTCAAATCCTAGATCTGTTTTTTCTGGCTACTTTAGCTAGCAATGTCCAGCAGCAACCTAGGTCTTAACGATGCTAAACTTAGGAACAAATTAAACTCTTATATCCAATGTTTGTTTTAGTAAGTTAGTAAATAAAACCAGAACTTTGTGCTCCTTATAGATAACCAATTATTTAAGATGGCATTTGACACTCTGCGACTATTTCAAAATGCAGACCAAATAGTAGGCTTTCTAACAAAGAGGTACATACAAAGTGTTTATAGTACTCATATTATGTCAGCCAGCCATGAGTTTCAATCTTGTTTTATGTTCATGACTCCAATCCAGTAGGGAGTTTATGGTTGTTGGGGCTAGGGGGCAAAAATTTATAATCCGCCAAACCACGTCATTGTTAAAACAAGTAAACATGAAAAGCTGCAAGGTAGGCCACTCTCGGTAATGTAATTGAAAAATAACTATTGTCGTGGAGTTTCAAATTACCTTGGGACTCTGACCACTAGCATTCCAATTGAAACTCGAGGAGATGGAATGAAACAGACTTAGGCCCCTTTCCTCTTTCAAGAGGACTAGAAAGAATGCAACTACTGAGACAACAACTCGAATTAAATCCCGAGAGAAAATAAAAGATTGGTGAGGTAAGGTCTATAGAACCGTAAGGAAAAGGGCTTAAAAGGAAGAGCACTCCTACTTACTTTTGAGAGAAATTCTGGACACCTTAGATGCCAGATCCTACAGGAAAGACTTCATGATAATGTCCTGGAGTTTCATCTCTGGTATTTGAAACTCCATGACAGCGGCTACTTTTCATTTATAGGAACTGAAAAGTGGCTATTTGTGACGGTAAAATGTCACATCCACTTCTTGTTATCATCAAAAGTTGAATAGGCCTATGAATTGGTAAGAACCTCAAAAGAAGCTTCGCTCTTTTTTCATAGTCAATGTGGTTAGTTTGACAATGATTGTCCAAAAGAAATCTGCTGATCCAAAGAATATTGGATTGATGGACAAATTAAACACTAAAATATGGACTTTTAAACAAGATAAGAAAGAGAGCCAACCCAATTTTGCTTGATAATTGGAGTGAATAACTGGGAGTTCAATTACAAGAAGCCAATAGAAGTATAGCAAAATAAGTTGCACAAAGTTGCTTCTGCTAAATCTCAATTAACTTCAATGGAAATGCATGGAAATTCTCTGAGTATGAAAAATTATTTCATAAGAAGGCCCAATGTAACATGGGAAAGAGAAGGCCTAGTAGGTTGAAGATTGATCACTCTCTAGAGAAAGAGTGAAGAAAGATCCCTCCTCGATGAAGGCTTCTGGACCAAAGGTTGTGAAGTCAATAGTTTCATTGCATTTCCTTTGGGGGAGTATTGGACAATTGATGAGGTCTGTACCATACTTATCAACACAACGAAAAACCTGCAGTTGGTTGTTAGTTGTTACCAAGTGCATCCTTATTGCATTCTATTGCTGCTTCATGTCCAGTTCCATTCTTTACAGCTTCCTTGATCACTTCCAAGCTGTAAAAGCCTCCTGGCTCAGTTCCTGCAACGTGTTTGTTTTGAGACTTAATAGAATAATTTGATGCTGGACTGGACGATAACTATAAGCACTTGCATCCTTAAGAACAGAAAGAAGATTCACCTTCTCCTTAATGGTCAGAGCTGCTTTGAAGTAAGAATGCTCATCTAGAGTAAAAAGGGAACAGGTACCACGTTTGTCCCATTCGTGTGACCAGAATTTTGTTCCCTTATTTCTTGGACAGGCTAGTGTTGGCCAGTTCTCTTGCATGCTACTTATCAGGTCTTTGATCTGCACCAACGTAAATTTTCATGTGCAGAGTTAGTATCCAGATCTCCAAATGACCAGTGTTCCGACCTATATATAATTGGTTTTCATCTGTGCAGGATACATTAATGTAGAGGCCCTCCCTTCAAACACACTAATGCATTGTCATAAGAATCATAAAAAGGAACTTCACTGGTAGAAACTTGGGAGAAAACTTGCTTGAGAAACTATTTCGACAAAATTAACTATGTTCACGAGAAAATGCCAGTGTGACAGAGGTACAAAAGAGCATCGTAATATAATATGTAAAATCGCAATTCATTGAGCTTACCTCTGTTTCATCATAGAGGTTTGTGTTATCACAACTTGATGGATAGGAGCCATTGTCGTAATTTGGCCAAAGTCAAGTGTTGGCTTTCCAGTAGTTGGATAACAACAACTTCGCTTTTGATCACATAGTGCTGGTGGCCACTGAGAACAAACATAACCTTAAAGTTAGAAAGTTCAAATCTAGGGAAATTCCAATAATTTTTACCTAAAAACATTCCAGGAGTAATAATATCATATTCTATGAGGAACTAGCGATAAAAGGAGGACTTGCCTGCCGAACTAAGTAAAAAAAATCAAAAATTCTGTGTGACACAGAGAACAAACAAACATTTTACTACAATAATCTTGATCAGCATAGGGCGGTAGTATCCTATCCTTGTGTGCATATATGGTTGCTATTGGAGTTGAAGATGGTGTTTGCCGTCTAGAGCTTTATACACATATATATATGTATGTACAACACAAATCATCAGGACTACCAGTGTGCGGATGGAAAGAATCACCAAACTCGGCTTAAGTTCTCGTCATGCCAAAAGAGTAAAATCATGTGGAAAATACACGGCTACGTCCCTCTAACAGGTTTATATGGACAGTGAGCATGTGCCAAATGAAGCCATTCTTGATTTGACTCTCAATCACAGAGAAGTGTGGGAAGCATGCTAAGAAGAGTTATGAATATCCTATGAGCGATACCACATGTATTAGGAAACTGCGTAATAGTTCATAAAGTCTAACTGATGGCTAGTGGTCAGAATTTCACCAAGCAGATTAATGTACTACAAGTTTTGTTGTCCTCTCTTTCCATTAAGCATTATTAGTTAAAAGAAAAACTCTGTGGTCCATGAAATATAATGATCCCATCTAGGGAACTCAATTAGGCCTTCAATTGGAAAATTATGGAAACTACATAACTATAACAAAATGAAAAAAATATATTTCAAGGATGTTAGTTGTAGACAAATTTCATTTTACTCAAAAACAGGGATAATGTATCAAATTTTAGGTTGTCTTCTTGAATTAGTGCTGTTTAGTACTACAGTTGATTTAAGAAAGTTGTAGTTTCATCTTTAATTTATGTGTTACAAAAATTAAAGAAACTGAACTGAATGTATGGTAAAGAAGGATAAGAAACCTGCTTATTTTCTAACCTCGGATTTGCTTTTCACCAGCATTCACTAGCAAAACAAATCTGAATGATAAACTATTATGATGACTGATGAGAATACCCGATTATCACAAGAAAATTCTGCATTGTCTCCAGTTGGTGTTAAGATGGTATAGGCTTGGTCTCACTAGTGTGCATTCCATCAATCATGTAACCAAAACTACCCAATATAACTTTTTCCACCTTCAAAATTGATGAAACTCATTCATGTGAAGGTGGTAGAGGTTTCCTCTCGCAAGAGTGCATATCGATCATTTGTCACCAAAAATCCCCACAAGAACAGTTTCCACCTTCAAAATGATGAAATCTATGCAAATCTCTAATAATAATATTTCGTTTAAAGATAAGTGATATGAATTTTGCAGCTGAATGGCAATCCCCACAGATTCTAAGGTTCTTAACAACACGGATTGTTTTTCCGGGTGGACTATTAAGAAGACCAAAAGTAATTGCCAATTTTTCACTGTGGTACCTCAAAGTAGCTTCTTTATCTTCATCTTTTAGGCCGGGACGAAAAGCTATAGATGTATCAGGAACATAACCAACCAATTTCAATTTCTCGATTAACTTGTCAACTTCCTGGTGCAGTTCCCTGTGCTCAATACGTGTAACCTCCCCAGAGAAGAATTCATGTAGTACATTGTTAACCTCCACCGAACTACATCCAGGAATTTTTTTAATCCCTCTTTCTTTCATCAATTTCCAGATGTAATTCACTTCTTCCCACTTCCCAGCTCGTGCACACATGTTTGAAAAGATCACATAATCGCCACTATGTGATTTGTCCAGTTCAAAGATTCTCTCAAGTACCAGCTTCCCCAAATCCACATTTCCATGGATGCTGCAAGCAGCTAACAATGTCCGCCAAAGTAAAAGTGTAGGCAGAATTGGCAATTCTGTTAAGAACTTAAAAGCATCAGTAAGGCGGCCAGCCCGAGCTAACAAATCCAACATGCATCCATAGTGTTTCACCCCTGGTACAATCCTGTAATTTTCTTTCATGCTATTGAAAAATCTAAAACCCTCTTCAATCAATCCACTGTGGTTGCAGGCATAGAGTAGGCCCAAAAATGTAATTCCATCAGGATTAACTTGAGTGTTCTGCATCTCTTGAAACAAAGTTATTGCACAACGAGCACGCCCATGAATAGCATAAGCCATGATCATTGCTGACCATGCTTGAGTGTCCCTATAAGGCATGCTCTCAAAAACAGAAATCGCATCAGCCAAGCTCCCACACTTTGCATACATATCAATTAGTGCTGTGTTCACCTTAACATATTGATCAAAACCATTCTTCTTAACATATTCATGCACCCATTTTCCAAATCCCAACGATCCCAACAATGCACATGATGAAACAACACCTAGAATTGTAACATCAGAAGGCTTAATTTTTTTCACTTGCAATTCACGAAACAACAAAAGAGCCTCATTTGGCTCGCTACTTCTCACGTAACCCATTATGATCGCATTATACGTTACCACACAAGGGTCAGCTATCCTATCAAACACACGACGAGCTGAACCATTGTCCTTACACTCAATGTACATATTCATAAGTGCAGGAAAAACATACATATCACTGTTAAGGCCATATTTAATCAAAAGACAATGCAACTGCTTACCTTCTTCCAGAGCTTCAGCACCTGCACAAGCCTTCAACAAAGAAGGAAATGTATAAAAATCAGGGACAACATCCAATGTTAAAATTTTCAAGAACAGAACAAAAGCATTTAATGGGGTGTCACTACGAGCATAACCACGGGCCAAGAAGTTAAAAAGGACTATATCTGATTGTGGAATTTTATCAAATAGGAGGTGAGCATGGTACATAAATGCAGGTGTTGGATTTTTTGTGCAAAAATTTATGAGCTTACTCATAAAAAAGATATCATTTTGCATTTGGGTTTTTATAGAAAAGGCTTGAATTTGCTTGAGGTCTCTTAAAGATTTGCATTTGGGTACAAGAGCAAGAGGGTCAATTGGTGTAAATGTGTCTTTTCTTGAATTTTTTTTGGTGATTTCTTGGCAAGAGAAAGGGCCTACTATGAGTAATGGAGTTTGAATAGCCATGGATACAGATTTACATACAGCTAAGGGATTTTATACTGCAAATCAAATCAAAAGGATTATTTTGAGTTTGGCTTTTCCTCCTTATGGCCTTTCATTTTGCGCCTCAATTATCCTTTCCCACTGTCTTTTTCTTGAAAAAATGTTCTCCTATTTCCATCTCTATAAATTCATTCTGGTGTATTTAATCATTCTCAGGTGCCACTAAATAGCACTAGATACTAAGATTATTGCAAATAGTTTTGGGTGTCAAGTCAGGCTTAGCAGCAACAACACAAGCCCAACTTTTAAATAGTTCAAGCCCACTATTCATTGCCCATATGGGCCTCTAACTCAAGTTCAACCTTCTCCTACCTCAGTCACTTCATCCTGTCAAAAATGGCGTCTACAGTAGCGAAGCTTAGAAGCAGCCCCAATTTCATCAACGGCCTTCGAAGATTTTCTCACGCAATATCCATACCACCACCACCACTTGATAGCACCATTTATCTCCAGATAGCTTCATCACCATCGTTGGTTTTACCTGAACATGACAACAACAACAACATAGGATTTATGGTCCCAAATTCACCTTTTCTTGGAGGGTCTATGGAGCTAATGGCTGTTCCTAAGAAAAAGGTAACAAGATCATTCCTTTTTCACTTTGTAATTAAGCTCAAATGAGAGCCTTTTTCTTGTATTTCCTAAATTGTTTTTTTTTTCTTATTACTATTGTTTAAAGTGATAATTAAGGTTATAAATTTAGTTTTGAGTTTAATTTCTGTGGGCTGATGTTCATTTTGAGGGCCAGGATTTTGGGATACCATATTGCTTAGTGTTCCTTTGGGGCATGCTCTCTTTTGTGGTTATAGAGTTTCAGAATATTGATCTGGAAACAATAGTGCGGGCGTTTGGCCATATTTCAATGTTCAGAAATTATACATGATGAGTTTAAATGGAGTAAGGTGGTCAATGACAATTCATATAGCCAATCCTAACTTAATTGAAATAGAGATGTAGTTGTTGTTAATGATTAATATGTTACATCTGTCTGTTGAATCTTGAGTTTTGCTTGTCATTGCCATGTATTTTGGCTTTGACAGATTATATAGAACAATGTTGCAGCACGACTAATTGTTGTATTGAGTTTTACATTATACTCTTTATGTATTTGTTCCTGTGATGTTATTGTCTTCAGTTCTGATTAGGTTGTGAGTTGATATCAGTAACGTTGCAAAGTCACTCGTGCTAATATGTGAAGCAGGACCTTATATGTATGCCGAACTTTTGTGTTTTTCTATTTTTGAATATGAGGTTATAGACTCGGTAGATGATAGATTCAGGATGTTTAGAAAGACGTCTTTAGGGAGATCACTTACCATCATGATCTTTATTGGGGAAATAAAATCAGAGAACATAAGTACGGCTGGGAAAAAATCCATCCTAATTGAAGCACTAAGAATATCAAAGTCCTGTAAATGCATTTGGGGCCTTTACTATGTGGGTGGCGAAATTTGGGAAGTGGCTTAAGTTTCTCTATTCCCCTTGCAAAATACATGAGATTAAGATAAAGTGTAGTTACTCTTTGTTTTCTTTTGGCCTTAGTTCCCCTGCAATTTTCGAAGTTTGGATCTGACCAGGAAATTTCCAGACAGTTCCAGATATGAAAGTAGGTAGTAAAACTAAGCTTAAAAGCATAAAATGGAGTTGCTTGGGGCAAGGCACACCTCCTACTATTCTTTATTTTACTGGATATTGTGGAAGCTAGCAACAGTCAGAATGGGGTTTTGGGGGCTAATCGGATTTCAGTAAATACAAGAATATGGAGTTGAGACTTAAATTAAGAACCCGGAAATAAGATTTTCCTGTATAATAGCTTTACATTTTGGCTATTTATTCACAATTAATAACAATTTAGCTAAGTGCCTACTCTGATCTTAGCTACCCTTTGACTGTAAACTGAATTCTGGTAAACTCATGGCTTTGAGGAGGCCTCCACATATATATGTCTCCCGAATTTTTGTTAATAATTGGCAGCAAGATTGATAACCTTTCACACTTTAATAGGTTATTCATGAAGAGGGGTTTTCTGCTTGCTTGTGCCTATTCCACATGAAATGTCTGCAAAAATTTACAGTGTGTAACATTAAGTTTCCTGAAGAATTGATCCAACTACCTACACAAAAAGGAATGTTGAAATTCTGAATCTTTATCTAACAAGTTGGCGCCTTGTCAATTAGACTACCTCATTGACCCTTTTCTTTGTGTTTTTTTGCATAGTGCATGCCAGCTTGGGGAACTTGTTAAAATTTCCACATGCGTAGATGGATGTAATGCTTATGCTGTGAGGTTGCATTTGTTCCCGCACTTGTGTGACACCGAGAGAGTACGTATGTGTGTACATGTTACATATAGTTCACATTTTGTTATGCTGATAGGATATGCTTGATCATGCAGGTTTCCCCTCATAAGAGAGGCATAAGAAATGGACCAAAGGCTCTAAAACCAGTGCCAGTGATTACGCGGTGCAAGTAAGAGCTTTATGCCATCAAAAAGGACTAGATAAATCTTTTGCTTCTTCCCATAAATTAATCTCAATTGAAACATATTGAAGAATGAAATGTTTAGCTAGTAAGAGAAAACCCTGAATTTTCTATTTAGCTTGTAAACAACAGAAGATTGGATATATCGACATATGTATATGTCTTTCTTGGTGCTTCTGAAATATTATTATGTCTCCCACTTTCAAAACCAGAGACCAAAGCAAGGCTCGACACAAAAAAAGTACTATAGTAGATTGTCTTTCCCTGTAATGGAACTTTCATGTTGGAACAAAAACTAGCATGAAAGTCGGACTACGTGTCTCTGTCTCAAGGGAAGTTTTGATAGGGGGAGAACTCCTTGGAAAAAAGGCAATGAAAGAGTAAGTGTACTTGGGCTACCCATAAATTGAAAAAAGATCAACAAAAAGGTAACAGTATTTTTCTTTCGTCAAATATCCCATTTTTGAGCTTGCATTGGCTATCCAATGGAGTGAGTCTTTGAGATTTTATTCGGCTGTCTGATCTTAGCTCCACGAGTCAGACTAACTGTGTGCTTCTAAAATTGTTCTCCCAAATTGATGGGTTTCAAGTATGATTTGTTCCAAGGTAACATCTTGCTTGAATGATTGTTAAACAATAAGATTATGATTGTTGACACAAGAAAGATTCAGTAGGACATTAAAAAAATTTAACTGATGATGTTTATCTTGGTCCTCCGTAAGGAAGACAATTGCTTAATGTCATGTTTCATTTTCTTGTCTAATGCAACGATTTTTGTTGTGCTCCCAGTCCCATTTTTCTTTGTTGGTCTTCCATCTAAGGTCTACACTTTTCCATGTTAATTCTCTTAACATCCTTCTGCTTGTAAATAAACTTGCAGGGTCTGCAGTCGAGTCAAATTACCACATTTCTTTTGCTGCAGTGGAATCAAGCCAGGTGATGAGAATAGTTCCAACAGTTGATCAACTTGAAGTGGAGCATCCAACATAATTTCTTCAACTTCAACTTTGTTGTTCTGGTAGAATCTGTTTTTATTTGAAAGAAAGAAGTTTAAATATGCACCATGGCTGCACAATAGCATAGGCCTCTTGCTGAAGAACCTGTTTTGCATGTTTAAGTAGCACTATATTAGTTTTATTTCTTCGAAGTCTTCCCTTTGATTGATGACGACGACTAGTTCTTGAAAATCACAAAGCATTAGAATTCGGAGACTAGAGCACGTAGCTCTTTCACATTCATTACTCCGGAACAAAAATTCCTGATGCTCCCCTGAGCGAACAAGCAAGAACATACATCAAGATATATCGTCTGTTCTCCGTGACTATCAGAACTGTTCATGTACTTTGTGAAGTTGCACCGTTAAGTATGAAAGTTCCATATCTGTAGCATTCTCATCACTTTTTGTTTCTTGTTTGAGTTCTTTTGTTGAAGGATTTGTTCTTCCTCTATGGCATTGGCAAGCGTGCAGTATGTATGAGAAACAATCAGCCTAGTTGAAGCTGCTAAACTGTGTTTATGTTATTGAAAGGTTGGATTTTGTTTCCCATGCAAGACATATCAGAAATTTTTCTTTGAAATATTTTTGAATTTTGATGTCTTATCTTTCAGTTGTTGAGTTGTGATTTGAATTTGTTTCACCTTGTGGTGGTGGAATTACATGGTTCAAACTTGCTTCAATTGCATTCTCTTTGTCGGAAAATAGTACTATGTAAATAGGATAAACACTACATTTTTTTTCAAGAGTTAATAGAGTATTGTTTTTCATAACTAATTTGATTTGTTGCACTGGAGCTAAGGGTCTTTTAGAAACAATGTCTCTACCTCCATGAGTTAAGGATAAGGTCTACGTAGCTTTACCATCTCCAAACTCATGTGTGGAATTACACTAGACACTAGTCACTAGGCATGTTGTATAAAAAGTTGGAACTTGATTGCTTTGGAAAGAGGTTTTGACGTTACAATCTTGTTTGTCCAAAAATAATGTAATAGTTTTTTGAAGAGATAATCTACCACTATTTTTTATAACCCAACATTTATATTGGTAGTTTTATATATAAATTTAAATAATATAACAAGCATACAAACGTAGACATAAATAGTTGCAAAGAATATGGAGACCAATTAATAGGACCTTGTAGGATTGCTTATTGACTTGCATTATATGATTTGAACATCTATTTATTGACAATAAAGCAACAAGCATGGATTATGTGTCTTTTACACATCATGATTATCCAAATTAAGAATTAAATCTTATGTAATGCCCTCAACGTTAAATTATGTCGTACGTTTTTGTTTTCTACTCAATGTCTAGTATTCGTTTTGAGACCCAACTAATCATGATTTGCATTGAAAGTTGGTCAAACCTACTTTTAAGTCAATTTTTAACTTCTGAAAGTGTTTGACAAATATAAAAAATAACTTAAAATAAGTCAAAAATGACTTCAAATTAGTTAGGAAGTGTTTGGCAATGTCAAAAGTGACTTAAAATAAGTTTAAAATGACTTAAAATAAGTCAAAAACCAAAAGTATAGGTCTCCCCCTACTTTTTATTTTTAGACTTAAAAAGTCATTTCAGTTTGACATTTTATTTTTGACTTCAAAGCTATTTTTTTTTAAGTCAATCCAAACGGGCTCTAAATTAATGTTCTCTACCAAAAGTGATTCATATCTAGGGCTCGATTCAACACCTCTAGCCTCTAATTAAAAATGAATGAATACTTACCACTCTGTCACGACTTCTTATAGTTATTAATTATTTTAAAGTTCGTTAATAATCTTAGAAGTTGAATATTATAAATGCACGTTCCAACATCTATCCCCCAAACAAATAAATTTTAAAAATAGGCAAAACTAGAAGTATGATGAAGAAACTTGATAATCAAGCATATGTAGAAATAATAATAATACTATAAAGCAACCAAATGGGGTTACAGAAGGAATATGCTGTTTTGGGATAAGGATTAACGTGAGCTATATATGTTGTTTAAATAAGTTTATAAGATGATAAGTGTAACATATCATTGCCAACATAAATACAGTTGAGAGAGTTGAAAAAAAAAATACATCTATATAGGAAATAATTAATGTAAGAAACCCACAAGTTTTTTTTTTTTTTAAGGATTAGCAAGTTGACATTCAAATATTATACTCAATAACATTTTCACATTCAAACTTAGCTCTTTGTCTAAGTAACGCGTTAATATCCTTTTTATTTTCTATATCGATAGTCTTTCTATATTTAAAAGATAGGGATAAAGTCTTTATATATTCTACATCTTTTTAGATTTTGCTCACTTGTAAAATTACATTGAAATTCATTACAGTTAAAATCTCTAAAAAAATTCCTTTAGTGAAAGAAAAAAGAATTGTCATTTTTGATACAAAAAAGAAATCACGTTTATCATAAACCAATTGCACAAACAAATGCTCTATTGTCATGTTGTGTGCACGATACTATATTTCAAAACCCAATTTAGAAAATAATTGTGGAAGACATTTGGAAAAAGTTACTCTTTCTATCTCCATTTAAATACTTGTCAAAGTTTATCTATAATTATTTAAATTTAAAAATAACTTGATTGCATGTACAAATGATTCCTATTTTTAAAGATATAAAACTATATACCTTTGATAAGTATTCTTCACTGAAATTTAAATCTCAACTTCTTAATCCAAATATTTAACTTATTTTCCAAACTTTCAATATATCATCAGAATTTAAGAAAAGCTTAAAGAAATCTATCACAATCATTTTATATTATATTTTATAGTAGTACATGAAACTTAAAACTCTTTTAACTTTAAAACATTCCAACTAAAGTCAATTTTTTCCCCTATCGTGAGAAATAAAGAATTATTAAATTATTTTTGGTATGAAAAAAGAGAATGTTTGACAAATAAGTTGCGTATAAAATTGCTATAGCATCAAATGAGGACCGGAAAATGAGCATCAAATTCCGCACCACATATGATGAAACAGAAAAATCGCTGGCTTTTCGATTGATTCCCTACTCCCCTATTAAAACTTTTGGAAATGAGAACCTTTTTTTAAAATTTTTTAAAATAATGCTCTAGAAATATCGTATAAATTTATATTTAATCGGATCTTAATATAAATATAGAACACTATTTAGAGAAAACATACACATTAAACACCAATTATAGTGTTAACGTAACCTTCACATAAGAGTTTGATTCTCTTCCTAGCCTTATTTCTTACCTCGATGTAATAAAAATATTTTAAAGAATAAAAATAAAAATAGAACATAGTATATTCCACGTGTAATACGCTGAGATTTACGGATGATAACTAACTAAACCAGCGGGTTACAGCTGACGTTTGCTTGTTAACACAAGCAAACCAAAATCCAAAAATTATAAATTGGTAAAAGTTGTTTATCATCAGCTCTTCCAAGTTTCTGCATCACATAGCGAGAAAAAAAAAAGGTACACCGACTCATTTCCAAATTATGCTGTATAATATATCATGCATGGGTTTTTTAATTTGTATAGTTTCCACAAATTAATTAATATATAAATATATATATGTATATATCTTTTTCTAGCTTAGAAGAGAATTAATAGTATTCTCATTTATCTTGGACGTGACCTAATTCTGAGCTTAGTAGGTCACGTCTCTAGATCACCTTATTAGGCAAATGAAGCACTATTAGCTATCCGCTTAACGATATTTGTACATACTAATTGCTACTATAAGCTTGTTAGTGGAAGACGGGATTATAAGGTGGGGAATCAAAATTATTGAGGTAAGTTATAATTAAGATCCCCTAATATAGCTTCTTGAATTCTGATGACTTGGGTATTTCAGGAGATTGTTGGTTTAGCTAAAGTTTAGTAATTTTTTTAAAAGTTATATGAGTTTTGTTACTCTGCATATCAGTGATGTAAAGTGTTGAATGGGTAGAAAGTGTGTTGATGGAGGAACATTGGATTTATGGTAATTAGCTTCTCCATATTTCTGCTGGTTCAGTTAGTTTGAGAGATTGCTTCTTATTACCAGTAAGTTGAAAGTTGAAAATATTAGAGAAAAAAAGTATGAGTTGCAGATTGTATATGGTCATAAATAGATTGTGGATTACAAGTCCCTGGTTATCGAAAAATGGATTGCAAACTCCAAATTTTAGCCTGTACTAGTGTTTAAATGCATGTTTAGGTGCCATGTCGGTGTCAAGTAACATTACTTCAACCATACCAAAACATTAACTCATCTCTTTGTTATTTAATTTGTGCAAGGGAGGACAGATTCTTTGTTTGTTTGTTTATATCTTTGCTTGCCTTTTCACATTTTCTTCCTAATCTATCATCTTGGATATTATGACTTAATTGAAAGCTGGAATCTTTCTTTGTGATCATGCTAATTATTGGATGTGCACTAGTCATTTTCTGTATCACTTGTTAATGGCACAGATATTTGGAATCTTGCAGAAATATCCCCCAACAGTCAGGCGTTTGCTTTCCATAAAGAGTATAAATTTTGATCGTAAACAGATACTTATAACATTCAAGAATGAAGTTTGGTAAGGAATTCAAAAGGGAAATGGTCCCAGAGTGGATAGAAGCTTATGTGGACTACACTGGACTCAAACAAATATTACAGGAGATCCGCCGTTTCAAGGAAAGCAATCAGCCTCCAACGCCTGCAACATCTTTAGATCAGAGGTTGGCATTGTATCGCAACTTTAGTGGTCTAAATCTACAAGGCAGTGTTCAGAATACTAGTGATATTGAGAACCAGGTGATAGCAGTAAACACTGTGCCACACGAAAACTACAGAAAATTTTACAAAACCAAGTTCCTGGCATCTCCTGAAGGAGCAGAAAATGAAATTAGCTTCTTTGACAAACTAGACCATGAATTCAACAAAGTTAATACCTTCTATAAGGACAAGGTGGATGAAGTCATGAGGGAAGTAACTTTACTGAATAAACAGATGGATGCTTTGATCGCGTTACGTATCAAGGTAATGGATCCGGGTTTCAATGCATTTCCTTCCCTTCAAAGTCTTTCCTTGGACATTAACAATTCAACACCTTCGAGGATCACATCTCCTCTCAGAATGACGGTTGTAGGTAAGGGACTCGATCAAATCCACTTCATGAATTTCACATATTAGATGTGCAACTTTGAGAGAATATGACTCTTTAATATGTTCTAATAAGGAGTTTATGAGCTTAACAGGTAGTAACTATATAGCAATAAAATTGATAGTTGGAATTTTCATGATGCTGATCCCCCTTCGGAGCAGACTCAATGACAAACCAACAGTAACTCATCAAATAATACTCCTTCCATTTCAATTTGTTTGTCTGCTTTTGACTTACCCCAGAGTTTTAAGAAAAAATAAAGAAAGACTTTTGAATCTTGTGGTTTTAAACTAAAGTCATGTAGAATGTACTAAAATGTCTTTTAATCTTGCCAAAAAAAAAGGAAAGAGACAGACTAAAAAGGAAAGTAAGACAAACAAATTGAAATAGAGGGAGTATAATTATGCAAGTAACCTGGATATTATGGTAAGAGCTGCGTGAGTATGCTATGTTTGGTAAGGTCAACAAAGTTCAATAGTGTAGTACTTGAAGCTCTACCAGAGAAACCACATCTTCTGTATTTTAGTTGGCCTTCAGTTGGCTACAAGGTCCAATCTCAACTTAGTACTTGCAGCTTACATCTGCTTACATAGCCCAACTCTACGACTATCTTTCGCTTCATTGTGTGATTAGGCAGATGATGTTTATGTATATTTGGTTCTACTGCATTTTCAGATTCTTCACTGTCAATGTGCAGATACAGATGATATGCCTGTCAGTCCAAGTTTTGACCCCACTTATGGAAGACAGGTTTCTATGACTAATGCTTCATATCCAAAGCTTCCCATCAACCGCAATTCTTTAAGAGAGAACAGAGATACTGATTCACAAAAAACAGATCCTCTTGAAATCCTAGATCATGTTAAGATTGTTAATACATTTGAAAGTCCCATATCAACTATAAGAGGTGTCTTGAGCGAATCCAAGGAGAATGATTTGAGTTATAAGAAAGAGGAACTAAAGAAGGTTGAACATAGGCTGAAGCTTATTTTCATTGAGTTCTATCAAAAACTTCGCCATCTAAAACACTTCAGGTAGTGCAAACTAAATTCTGACTTGCTTTAATTTTCTTTCCAAAATTATTCTTTCAATTTAATTATTCTCTGGCTCTCTGCATTTGGCCTGCTACTTCTTGGATGAACTTACAACAGCTATATGAACCTGTCTGCATTCTCCAAGATCCTCAAAAAGTACGAAAAGGTTAGGTTTCACTAACCAAAAGCTTATTTCAATAGCCTGCCTTTCAGTTACATTTACATTATACTCCCTCCGTTTCAATTTATTTATCTGGTTTTGACTTGGCACGGAGTTTAAGAAAGTAAAAAAGACTTTTGAATCTTATAGTCTTGAAATAAAGATATATAGAATATACCAAAATGCCCTTTAATCTTGTGGTTTTAAAATATGTTGTGGAAAGTTGAAATTAAAGAGTAGCCAAAAAGGAAAGAGACAGTCTTTCTGTAACGATTAAAAAGGAAAGACAAATAAATTGAAAAGGAGGGAGTATTAGCTATAAGTGAAAGCAACATTTTGAGCAAGTTCCAGGAATGCTGCAGTCTGTCACCAAGGAACTTAAAATCCTGAAATTTTGGATCCTTTTCCCAAGTGCAGATTACATCTAGAAAAGCAGCAAGATCATACTTGAAAATGGTGGATAACTCTTACCTTGGGAGCTCTGAGGAGGTTAGTCTGATATATCCTTCCACCATTAGGATTATGTTGTTCTTGTAAAAAAACGAGAATTTTATCGTAGTGTTGTACTTGAAACTGACTGTTACATCATAGGTTACCAGTCTTCTGGACAGGGTGGAGACCACCTTCATCAAGCATTTTTCGCAGTCGAACCGCAGAGAAGGCATGAAGATATTGCGGCCAAAGCATAAAAGAGAAAAACATCGTATAACATTCATGTCAGGCAAGTAATGCAAATATATGATGTACAGAACTGATTGGACAGTCAATTTTTTTAGATATGATGTTGTCTTTTTTTGCATTTTATAGTACCCTTTATATTTTGGTCCTTCATTCACAATTTTCAGGCTTCTTTTCTGGTTGCTCAATTGCTCTACTAGTTGCTGTAATTCTATTAAGAGATGACAGAAAGTTGATAGATAAAGATGAAGGCACCTCTTATTTGGACAAGATAGTTCCACTTTACAAGTAAGGGAGGATAAAACTCTTTTCTATGCGAATATACCTAATACCAGCATAATGAAAAACCATACTTGGGGTTTCCTGAGCCTGTAATTTGACTAGAGAAGAGTTTTGAATTGTCTGGCAGTTTTTATGCATACATTGTGTTGCATATGCTTTTATATGCTGCAAACATATATTTCTGGAGGCACTACAAAATCAACTATGCATTTATCTTTGGTTTCAAGCAAGGGACCGAGTTAAGCTTTAGGGAAGTCTTTCTTCTTAGCAATGGTCTAGCAATGCTCGTCCTTGCCGCTCTCCTGATGCATCTGCACATGAATTCAAGAGCTGAAGTATATGGTACACATATTGAATATGTTCCTCTGGGATTGATAATGGTAAAATTTTAGAGCTTTCTGACTGATCAGTTCTACTGTATTTACTTTCTTTCACCAAAGATAATTCTCTATTCAGGTACTTCTTTTCATTACTTTCTGCCCGTTTAACATCATTTATCGCTCAAGTCGTTGGTTCCTTATAAGATGCGTCTTCCGCTGTATCTGTGCTCCTCTTTACAAGGTATATTCAACAGATAATGAGTCGTAAATCAAAACTATATAGTTATATCCAGGTGGGCTAACTCTCTCTTTAAATTCTCATTTTGTGCAGGTTACTCTTCCAGATTTCTTTCTAGCAGACCAGCTGACTAGCCAGGTTCTGTGACTTCTTGACATTGTAGAGTTTAGTTTCTACTTCATCTTTTAGTTGTTGTAGCGGTTTTAACTTCCTACATAATACAGGTTGAAGCAATAAGGAGTTTGGAGTATTACATTTGCTATTATACTTGGATTAAACCTTCGCATGGACATAATACGTGCCAAAGTCACAATGTCTATAACATATTTTACTTCATTCTAGCAATCATACCATATTGGTTTCGGTTTTTTCAGGTTTGACAACAACTTTTGATTGTTAGTTCATTACTGTAAATTGTGTATATGAAAAGATGAGTGCCACTAAGGATCTTCCATCCTCCTTTCATCTCTTGTGATTCCCCCTGCCTGTGTTTTGTTTCTAGGACATGGGACATCTTCTAGATTGTTTTCACAATTTATGAAAATCCAACATCTCTTGCTCAGCTATATCCTTGGTGGCTTTAAGCATAAATCATATTCTGTTAGGAACTCGCTTCTCTTAATATATTTTTATCTTCTCCATAATGTACTAATAACATATATCTCTTGCTTCTACTGAAAACTGAAGCCTCGGCAATGAGATGACTCATGGTAAAGGGTGTAAAGTTTTCATCAGCATTGAACCTAGAATTCCCCTATGATATCTGTGAACGAATCTGCACATCTAAAGCATGACCTTAGATAGGAGGTTGTGGAGGGTACAAATTAGGGTAGAAGGTTAGTATGTAGTAGAGTTGGATCTTGTTTATCTTTCCATACTGGCGGTCGTAGTATTTCTCCTAGTTTCTTTTCCTTCAATTTCTGTTACTGGTAGTCGTAGTATTTCTCCTATAGTTTCTTTTCCTTCAATTTTTGTTACTGCTAGTCAAACTAATATGGGTTTGCAAATTTTAGCTCCGATAACATGTGAAAGAATACAACATTCAAAACCTTTTAAGCAAAGGATGGAAGTTAAATATTATATATACACCTTTGAAAGTTCTTACATAACCCAGGCGGGACAACTGTATATAACTTAATAGTATCTTTATGCCATTTCTTTCAATACTCAAGAATGGAATATTTTCCTTTACAGTAGACTTAAAGATCCATATGCTTTCACTGTAGTGTGTCCGTCGACTGTTTGAAGAAAAGGATCAAGCACAGGCATACAATGGCTTGAGATACTTTTTGACAATTCTGGCAGTCGTTATTAAAACAGCTTATGTACTGAGAAAGAGTTTGACTTGGGAGGTGTTGGTTATACTGAGCTCACTTATCACAACTCTTTTCAACACATACTGGGATATAGTTGTCGATTGGGGGCTGTTGAGAAGGAAGTCCAAGAACAAGTTCTTGCGGGATAAGCTCATACTGCACCATAAAAGTGTATACTTCACAGCCATGGTAGCTTCCATATGACAATTAAGTTGTTCCGATTCATTTTAAGATGAGCTGTTAGCTACTCTTAACTTTTTTCATTCTCACAGGTCTTGGATGTTTTGCTCAGATTTGCCTGGCTACAACTGGTATTAAGATTCAACGTGCACTCTTTGCGAGGAAGTACTGTCTCAAGCATATTTGCTTGCTTAGAAGTGATTCGACGTGGCATGTGGAATTTTTTCAGGTATTACAATCTCTCATGCCACATTTTCTTTTGGATCAGTTGTTCCCAACTTAAAATGACTTGCAGAAAAACTGTGTATTGACGTATTTATCATCTTTGAAGTTCTGTGAATTGACATTGGACAGCTCACAGCAGTTTTGCTGTCCATGTACAGTCTTGTTGATAATTGTACGCGAACTGAGATATATACATTGTAATTTATCAGGTTGGAAAATGAGCACCTGAACAATGTGGGGAAATACCGGGCATTCAAGTCAGTACCACTTCCTTTCGCGTACCATGAAGAGGATGATCACAAAGAAGAATAAATATGAACATTTATCTATCCCCATTACCTTATCAGAGTGCTAGCAACTGCCAAACTTTAGCAAACAGCAAATGTCATTCATCATGAAGAGTTCACATGTCAAATGTTGTCTGATATACAACATTTGCTATCTAAGCTCAGGAAGTTGTTACATTTATGGGCTTAAAGGCAGACGCCAAGAGTAGAACGCGTGTGAAAGAGCTTAATTTTCACACACAAAAAACCAGGCAGATTCCAGAACAAGGCAAAGATGTGCAATGACAAGGAGGGAGAGAAAGAATACATTGTTGAGAATTATACTAATTTTAAAAATTTCTTGATTGTATATTGTTCAAGTCGAAGATAGTAAATAGTGTTGCATTTGTTCATAGTTACTATTGCATTTGTTCATAGTTCAGAATGATTTCGAACTACATAATCAAGTGAATGATCAAGAAGAAAAAAAAAATCAAACATATTTAATTTTATTAATCATATTTAATGGCTTTAGGCTACCAAATTCATTGAGCCAATATATTGTTATGTTCCCAAACTTCATATGTTATGACATTCCTTTTGTGGACGATTTTAAACCATTTAGCAAACCGTATTTTCCTTTTCCATTGCTAGGGGTAATTTTTATCTAGAAGATACTAGTTGTCTTGTCATGTTGTGCCAACCCTGGGAAAAAAAAAAAAAACAGTTCTTTTATTTGGCATTAATAATTTTCATTGACCTGACTTTCTTCTAAATAAATGAATAAATAAATAATGTCCTATATGTAATAAAAAAGGGTTTAAGAGGAGGTTTATGAGCAGCCTGGGAAACTTTACTTGCATGCTTTCAGATTCAAACCCTAGCTCCCCCAATTCAACAATCCTCACCATGTCTTCCTCACCGACCCACGGATCAAAATCTGAAATTGAAGAGACCCATCAAGCTGAAACGGGTGAAACCCAAAAACCTAAGGAGGAAGACCAAGAAGAAATTGGAAACGATGAGGAAGAAGAGGAGGAGGGTGAATGTGGCTTTTGCTTATTTATGAAAGGGGGAGGTTGTAAAGACTCTTTTATTGATTGGGAAAAATGTATTGAAGAGGGGGAGAAGAACAAAGAGGATATAGTGGAAAAGTGTTTTGAGGTTACTTCTGCTTTGAAGAAGTGTATGGAGGTCCACTCTGACTATTATGCTCCTATATTACAAGCTGAGAAAGCTGCAGAGGCTGAATTGGAGAAGGAGAAGGAGAAGCAGAAGGAGCAAGGAAATGACGGCAACGACACCGGATCAGACACCAAATTGGAAGGGAGTTCAAATAGTTCTTAGCTAAAGCAGAGGCTAGTAAGTCTGCAGAATCAGAAAAAAAAATGATATTTTTTGCTTGGAATGTTATAGGTGATTTTGATAATTAAAAAGTGGAAACTGGGAGATTCTTTTGAATTGAGGGAAGAGAATAGTCCAATAATTGTACTGAAGTTGCCTCAAATTTTAACTTTCTCATGAACTGAATAATTAGTTGCATTTGTCTTGTGTCTTTTGTATACTCAGCGAAATTTGGTGTAAACTATAGTTTCTTCTGATTTATGATATAATGATACTGGAATGAGCAGAAGAAATCTTCCAGCTATGACCTTCAACTCTTGATCTGCAATTTCTGTCTTTTTTTTTTTCGATAAATAAGAATTTGATGTTAGTTTATTGCTGTTGGAATTAGTATATTAGTTGTTGATTTGTGTGTAAATGCATTAATTGTGAGGAAAAAAAGTGTGGATGCATTAAGGAAAAATCAGATGGATTGACTACTTGCTATCTGTATTCTTCATCAGTTTAGGAGTATCTATTTCTTTTTTTTCTGCAAGGTTTTGACTTTCAACTGTCTCAAAAGAAACTTGATCTGAGTACTAGTTGGTAATTGGTTAAACTTGATCTGAGTACTAGTTGGTAATTGGTTATTGGTTTGAATCTTTTGAAAACCAGTGAGATAACTCTCTATTTTCCATGTGTTCAGCTGGAAACAGACTGAGCAAGATAAGAATGCAAGATTGCATTTGTAGAGCTATGGTAATGTTATTGCATCTTGTTACATTCTACTATCAGTTGTTAAGATCCATGAGCCACTCATATAGCTTATCAAAGTTATCTTAATATTAAGGGAAAAGGGTCAAAAATGCCCTTAAACTATGTGAAAGGAACAAAAATGCCCTCCGTTTATAGTTTGGCTCAAAAATGCCCTTAGCGTTAATACTTTGTTTCAAAAATGCCCTTAAACTATATGAAAGGAACAAAAATGCCATCCGTTTGTAGTTTGGTCCAAAAATGCCCTTACCGTTAATATTTTGGTCCAAAATTGCCCTTATTGTTATTTAATGGGTAAAAAATGCTCATTTTTCAAATAAATATTTTTTTTAACACATTCTTTTCTAATAATGTTTTTTTTTAAATTAGCAAATGTTTATCCTACTTCAATTTAGAAAAAAATAAAAAATGAAAATATTTCTTATTTTTTATCGTTATATAAATATAAATTAATGATGGATATACTATAATCTTATATATGACATATATTATATGTCCAAAGGGTACATGACGTTATTCTATTTTAATTGATAAAATGAGATTAAGAAGAAAAAAAATATTTCCTACCTTTTTATTTGTTAAAGTGATTTTAGAAGAAAGAAAACAATAATAGTGTTCTTCAATAATATTTTAATTAGGAAAAAAATGTGTTTAAAAAGAAAATATATATATTTATTCGGAAAAGGGCATTTTTGACCCATTTTGTAACTATAGGGGGATTTCTGGACCAAAGTATTGACGGTAAGGGCATTTTTGAGCCAAACTATAAAGGGATGACATTTTTGTTCCTTTCACATAGTTTAAGGGCATTTTTGAACCAAAGTATTAACGCTAAGGGCATTTTTGAGCCAAACTATAAACGAAGGGCATTTTTGTTCCTTTCACATAGTTTAAGGGCATTTTTGACCCTTTTCCCTAATATTAATATGGTATAATAAAGTGAGACATTATTCTATTTACTCGTCAATGACATCAATCCCATGTTTTGGACAATTTAAGTTTTCTAAAAGACAAACTATGTGTTTCTAAAGGTTCTTGCTTGACAAGAGTTACCTTTCCTAATACTGATAAAGTTTGAGTCTTTGATATCAACTCAACTTCTTTGCTTATCCGTTGCAGTACATGAGTTTTTGTTTTTTCAATTGTTTGACTGAAGACAAATTGTGAATATAGTATGCCAGAAAAAGTAAAGGGTAGACCCAGTCTTTCAGTGCTGTTGCCTGCAAGAATCTCAAGTTCCTAAACTGTAAATATATACATCCTTACCATCTATAGCTTTTATTGATTTCGTTTGAAGACTTGACAGTACAAATGAAGTAGGTTTTTGGTTGTATCCTGCTGCTGCTGTTAATTGCCTGATCTTTTGTAATGTATGCTACTAAAGGTTCCATGATATAGTCATAATGGCAGGTATCTGCATGTACAATGCATTTTAAGCCACTGATGTTGTCCTCTGCACTGTACTATAAAAGGAAGTGCATCCTGTTGCACTGCTTCTCAACCAGATATTCCGAGGAGAATATTTGTTCCCATACCCAGAGGAAAATGCTGTTTTATGTTGGAAAAATATGGTTAGGCTTTTACTGCTGCTTAACATTACACCTGCATTCAGCACTGTACTCCAGGAAGTGTGTATCAAGTAGATTAGCTGATAAACCGGGGCTTATGTTAGTGCTCTTCATATGACTTTTGCTTAGGTTGTTTAATCTCTTTAGCTCATTATATCTCATTTCTTGCTTGTTGATTGAATCTCATCATCTTTTAGATAGCTCGCATCTCTCTTACCTTCTCCTTTTTAGAAGAAGATAGTCTGTTTACATTATGAAATAGCGTTTCAAGAGATCTGCTCCTGTTGTGCTCCAAACACATTAACATTTTATTTTTCTTACAGATGAGGCTATCCGTAACGACCATCATACAAAATACCAATGCAATACCTGTGAACTGATATGAACAGAAATTCAAATTCCCCTCCCTGGCTGCATACTTCCTATGTCATGTATACTGCAGCGTTCATCAATTTGTCCCTGTCATATTCGTATTTTCATTTTGTGTTGTGTGCAATCTGGTGCTGTGGTATGCTAGAAGCTACAATATGGTCCATTTTACTTGCTGTTTATCCTTTTTGGTGCTTGCATCTTAAACAGCTCTTTCGATCTTAGTTTTGCTGGTCTATGACCTAGTCATATTGAACTATTAGTACTGTGTATCATCGTTTTGCTTCGTGGCAATCATGATTTACCCTGATTGGCTTATCTTTGAGTTGAGATTCTTGTGTGTTCTTGCTCTACTTGTGGATTGGCTTATATCCTTGAGGCTCTGGAGACCGTTTGAGGATTTTGTCCCAAAATCTGTATAATGCCCTCATTTCAACCAACCTTTCCATCTCTGTCCATGTGTTTTTGAGCTGCTCTTAGCAGTCTGATGTTTGTAAATATTCAGTTTCATTTGGTTCTGGGACTCGAAATGACAATGTTTTTTTTTTTTTTTAATTTGCTTATATTGTGTATTGTATCTCTTTGCCTCTGGTTGCGTATATCATTCTCATTGCCTAATAGTGGCTGACTTGTGGGGTAATTGGACATAACACAATTTTGCCCGTCAAACCATATCACTCGCAGGGGTAGGGGAACTTTGGGAGGAGATAACAAGGTGGGAAATCAAACATATATGGTTGTATTTGTTGATACAAGTTGTGTTTGTTGATATTGAGTGAATACACAAGGAACAAATACATTTGATACAAATCAATTGTATTTATGATACAATGAATACAACATGAATTCATCCTCTCTCAAATCTCGATCACCTCTACTCCCTCTCCCAGTCATGCTCATCTCTCTCCTACTACTTACATGTAGTTATGAATCATAATTAAGTCAACTGTAACTATCGAATTCTAGTTAAGCTCAAACTATAATCATTTTTGAAAGCTCCTTATCGTAAAAAAAAGAAAAGCCAAGTTACTTTGGCGTTTTGTAACATTTTACTTCCCTATTTTCCTGAAACAAAAAGGATAAACAAAGACCAAACAAAAAGATTACTGTAACTTGCTAGAATTAGAAATCAAGCCCAAAAATGTGGTGGTTTAATTAGAGCAGCCCATCAGACATTCAATGAACTTGTATGACACTAGCCCGTTATCCTTCCACTGCACAGAGCGGG